CAAATTTTCATGCTTTAGATCCCAAATGTCGTAATTATATGTTTTGGATTGATACAAAGTTAGGCTCAGTTATCATGTCAAATGGTAATTAAACACGATTATTTCGATAATACATTAATAATTTTCCTTTATTGAAACAATCATTATTTATTTCATTCCATATTATTCTTCAATAGTTAACATAACTCTACTTTTTATTATTTTTTATATATTACATCTCTACTTAAATAAATTATATTAATTTATTTCACAATCTTTCTCTCCAGTATTCACATGCTACTCATTTTGAAGATAAAATAATATGATATTATTCTTTTAAAAATTATATTGTTAAAAATTTAATTGGTATATTGTCAATCTAATAAAAATAAATAAATAATTAATCAAATTCTAAAATTGTATATAAAATATGTTTAAAAAATATAGTTTGACATTCCAATTCTAAAATTATAGATTGATGTTTAACTATTATGATTAAAAACATATAGTTTGACAATTTAATTACAACACAAATTATTTTAGTTTAAAAGAATAAAGTTTAATGTTTTTATATATGCTTCTTAATTTAACACCAGTGTAATATACGGGTATTGTACTAGTTTGTAGTAATTGCAAGAAATTCCAAATACATCTTTTTATATACAAAAAATTGTTTAAACGGTGTTTTTTGACCAGTCAGACCCGACAGGGTTGACTCGTAGTCGTGCCCGATTAGCATCAATACGGTCAAACAAATTGACCCAAACTTTTTTTGTTATTTCTAATATTTTTTATTTTTGGTAATAAAATTATATAAATAATGATAACGAGATATAATATTAGTAAGAATTTCATGTTTAAAACTTATATTAATTTAGATAGATAAATTTATCTATTTTTATGTATATATGTAAAATAAAAATAATTTATATACATAATATTTTATATAATTAGTTACTATGTTCATCAATTGACTTCAACGAACCATTGACTCGATAATTTGGAGGCAAAATCTATTATTTACTGGGACGAGATATTACTTTTAAAATTCAAATTTATGAACAATAGAAAATTTTGAACTCAATTCTAAAGGACACAACTCATTAGAGCATCAACAATGCTTTTGATTCATTAAAAAAATTCATGTCACGTAAGAAATAGGCCGAGTCTAGAAAAATACATTCTTCAATGCAATTGTAAGTGGACTGGATTTTGGTGAAGTGACAAGAAAAATATACTCGTTCTACCCTTAAACCTATTTCATACTCAAGTAAAGACTTAGCCTCTTTGCATTTGAGTGAATTGTGTTACTTTTATATAATTCTATCAATATCATCCAAGACTTGCGTTTATTTACATGCCACTTAAGCAAAACTAAACTCAAAGCATTGCAGGTGCTCTTAATGCATGTTTAGTTATATAAAAAAATAACAAAAAAATTCAATCTTAACTCAAGTCTAAGTCAAATTTAAACCAACTCCACTATCATCAATATTATTAATTTAATATTAATACCAATCAACCATCTCTATACATTACATAAACTTTAATTCATCAATCGTTTTCAATCACCTCTATCCTATCTTTACATTAACTCAGACTTTAATTATTTTATTTTAAAAATTATTTTAATACAAACTCAAAATTCTATTTTAATCTAACTCAACTAATTTTGTTAAAATTAACTATAATTAATAAAAAATCAATCCTTTATGTACACATTTGAGTGTTATGTACATCTTATGTACATTTATTATATACTTGTAGCATTTTTTTAAATTGATAACTAAAATGTAAAAATAAGCCTTTAATTGAGAATAAATTAAAATTGAAACCCTCAAATAAAAAAATTAAAAATTTAAGTCTTATTATGCCACAGTAATCAAAAAATCAAGCCCCACAATAGAATTTTGCTGTCCACATATACCCCACTCCATTTACTTCTTCCCACGTTGACATGCGGTTATTCTTTTCAGTAGGTAGGTATATTCCATCAACCGAAATAGGTTATGAATAAATGAAAATTTAAATGAGTAATGTGGACACTACTTAAGCATAACAATGTCCGAACCACCACCTTGAAATTATACGTGTGACCGAGAGGTATAAACTCCATCAAAGAAACATATACCCGCAAAACAAAATTCTATAAAAGAGACACAAATTCTAAATAGGAGACAAAGTCAAACACAACTAGACTAACAAAACAAAAAATAAAGAATGACAAAAACAATGCACACCTAATAAACAAAATCATAACAGACTAACTGCACGACTACCCAAACCGGCACATGAGCCACACCCCGCAACACCGAATCCCAACAGAGCTGTAAATTAAACCCGTAAACCAAAAAATTACTGTTAAACTCGAACCGCCTAGACAAATCTGACGAGGAGGCGATTCTCGATATAGATTGGGCTCCAATGATCTTTAACTCCGAGGAGAGGGAAGTCGCCACGAAAAAAGACATCGGAAGGACAACCCGCCACCGCCAAAGTCGAGAAATGGTGCACAACCATCGGGCGCCTCCAGTCAGAGAAGACATACCGACAGTGAAAAGGACAACTCCCTGTCGGCACGAGGAAGAAACGCATGGCGGCCTGAACCCGTGAGAGAGAGAGAGAGAGAGAGAGAGAGGGATATGCAGCGTTGTTGCTGCAAAACCTCTCCACTCGAGGGCTGAAATAGTGGCGGGAAAGGAGCCTCTAACCTCGGCCATAGTCGGAAAAGGGAAGTTGTGGTCCCCAACAGGAGAAGGGGGCAGCAGAGAGAGGCTTAGGGTTTCTGCAAGTTTTAGGTACGGAGGATATTTTGGGGAGAGAAAAAAATGGTCAGCTAGCATACAGTATGAGCAAAGTCAAATTACAATATTATTGTCTTTTACTATGTGCTAGAGCGGAGGATATGCAGCGTTTTTCGTGGAATTATTCTACTTGTAGGTGTGTGTTGTAGTTTTTTTTTCCTTCTTCTTTTGGTTCAATTGTTTAGAGTCTACCTGTGTTGGAATTTAATGTCCAAGTTTGGAGTTTTTTGTCTCCTTCGGTAGGGGTGTATGTGTTTCATGCAAGGTTCTCATAACCGGAACGGTCATCGAACCAATAAAGTTGCATTAATATGTGTCTATTTTTTGAGAACAAGAGTTACAAAATGTCCTTATAATTAGTCGTATTTACTGCTCAATTAGACAACTTATAGTTATTAGTTGTTAGTTGTTACATATTACTCTCAAAACTAAAATACACAAATGGAAATGGTGTGAACAAAGAACATGAGAAAGCTGGTATTGGGCTCAACTGTAGCAGATCTTTTATCACATACTTTTTCCAATTCATACTATCACATGTTTGATAAGGTCATGGAATTCGACATATCGTTATTTTTAATAAAAATAATGGTCTACACCTACTTCATTTAAAATGATTTGAAAAATAGTTTACATTTGCAGTAATCCATTGTGTTTTCTTAATTATTGCTAAAATTACCATATACTAGTATAAATATTATAAAATCAGAATGTTTAATAGTCTATCATTTGCAATTGGTGTAATTAATAATTATTCATCTATATGTCTATTATTATTTCTAATGTTTATTATTTTATGTTAACAGCAGACACATCAAATGAGATATTTGAAAAATCTACTATTATGACACATTGTACAAAACAAAACAGACGTTAGACATTCACAAAAGTACTATTAAATTAAACGAGCTTGGCTCAGTTCGGCTCGAGCCCGACTCGCTAAGGCTCGAATTGGACTCGACTCGTTTAATAAATGAGCCGAGCTCGAGCTGATATAAAACTCGTTTAGTTAACATGCCTAGCTCGGCTCGATAAGGCTCGTGAAGGCTCGAAAAGAGAATTTTTATACAATTTTCAATAATTCGACTCGTTAAAGCTCGAGATCGACTCGAACTCGACTCGTTATGAGTGTTAAACGAGCCGAGTTCAAGCTCGATTTCAAGCTCCTTTATAATGAGTTGAACTTAGCTCGGCTCGTTAAGGGCTCGAGTTCGACTTGTTTACAAAACAAAAGGACGAGAAAAAATATTCATCTACATGTCTATTTTTATTTCTAATTTTTATTATTTTATATTAACAGCAGACACATTAAATGAAATTTTTGAAAATCTACTACTATGACACATTGTACCAAACGAAACTGACATTAGACATTCACAACAAGAAGACAAAACAATGATTGTCTGCTTCAACAGACATTTTTATAACATGCAATAAATATGTATTTAGCATCTAGGACCAAAATTGAAACAATGTAGAAAGNAATGTATCAGACAGTCCAGGTTATTAATCAACTCAAACTTATTAAGGAAAGAGCAAATGGTATTAAATTTCACCAGGGATCAAAACTTGAATTGCGAAAATAACATTTTCGCCGAAATTCTAACGAGGCTAAACTTCATAACAGGATGATAATTGTCAAAACACAGACAATCACAGGGTATGAAAAGCTCCAGAGTGCTCCAAAAGCCTAGTGTATGAAAAGCTCAATCGAAGGAGTTATGCACGTGGAGCTCCTCCAGGTGGTCCACCAACTCATGGGCCTTGATTGGGCTTTGGAGCATCATCCTGCCATAGGAGGATGTGAAAAAGAAAAAGAAAAAAAAAAAATGACGAATAATAAATCAATAATATGATAACCGTAATGTAATGTTTGGGATACAAGAACCGAGTTTTGTAAATGGGTAAGCGAGACACGTATTGAACAAGTCATGAGGCATCCGTCATTTGTTATGAAATTTCATGAAATAGGTTATGTTTGGTAACCAAATAAGCTAGCTTATAGCTTATTTGATTAGCTTATAAGCTTCATGCATTCAAATAAGCTTCGTTTGGTAGGACGAGCTTTTTTAAAAAGCTCGAGCTTATCTCATAAGCTTATTTGGGTAACTTTTCAAATAAACTCGTTGAAATTTTTATTTCAGCTAGCTTATCAGCTAATTTTACCAAACATTAGTTTTTCAACTATAAATCATAAGCTATAAGTTATAAGCTCGAAAATCATTTATAAGCTATAAGCTATAAGCAATCTCAACAACATTTCCTTGTAACAAAATTCAATCAAGGTAACATTTGAAATACTTTCAATCAACACATTAACATTTCAAATATACGGGCAGATAATATATCGCATTCCAAGATTCATTCGACCTTGAGGAAGTAAAGTCACAAAAATGCTTGAGTTTCCCCATGTGCATTTGAATGTGAAGGTAAGTATGAGTGCACAATATGCACCTAGCAGTTAAAGCAAGTTGATAACATATATGCTTACTCATAAGTACATGAAAACATAGAAGTTATAGTAACACATTCGACTTAAAAAAAACAACTCCATATGTAAAAGATTGGCTAAAGAGACAAAGGCATATGTAAACTGACCCTTGGGTGTCTAAAACGCACTGGAGGCTCACGATTCCTCCTGTCAGTTCGGGATCGAACCCTCACCACCTTAGAGTGAATTGCACACGAGACACAATACAGCATCTTCACGTACAGTTTGGGAAAAGTGTACACTACAGTGAATACAAAAGTACGAATTACATCAATCGTTAACTTATTCCCAATATTTTTTTACGGGACAATTAAGGATGGCAAATTGGCAAGGGCCAATAGGAGAAGTTAAGGCCTAATTGACAACAAGGGGGCTTACTTGCAAAGGCACAAGCTTCCTGCACATCCCTCACAGCAGCTTGCTCGACAATGTTCCTCACAAGAAACCTCTTGATTGCCTTATCCTATTTATACAACCAGAAAGCTTAAGATCTTGGACCATTTTCAAGATGCTTTTAAATTTCACTCTTTCAACGTTTCAAATTTTAAAAAGCTGCACTTTTGAAAATACTGCCGAGCTGAACATAAAGACTGAGATGTAAGATCAATGAAAAGTGTCCCAAATCAAAACACAAACTTTACATATGGGTAACACGCCTGATTGCATGAGGCACATTCTAGTCAAATTACGGCTTAATGGAACGGGTAAATACACGAGGACAACTCAATGAAGATCTCCAAAATCCGCAAAACCAAATACCAACATTCAAATGACTCCTAAACATGGTTTTTTGCCCACACAACGATTGCATCATAAAAATATTTTAGGGATATCACGCATTACCTCAATATTAACATAAATATATTTGATTATTACATGATCCGTTATGGGTTGTAGACCAAAAACGAGATTGAGGAATAAAATAAATACATGATTAAAAAAAAAACAAAAAACGAAGCAAGAACCTTGGGGCAGCATTTTCCACAGTTGGAGCATCGGACGAAATTGACATGGCCGCGTCCATGCTTGTTGCGCCCTCCATTCCTTCTCTTAAACGTCTGCATATTTCAACAGAAAAAACAAAATGCATGATCGTTGAGTACGATATAGCTCCAAATCCGACAAATCCATGAAATAAAAATAAATAAATAAATAATAAACTAACAAAACAAACGATAAGCTAGGAGATTGATCCTCACCATTGTAGATTAACTGTTTCTGATATCCAGAAATGGAGTTGCTTCAGCCAAAGCACCAGTAAAATGCTCTCTAGAGTATAGGGTTTATTAAAAGCGAGTGTGGTGACATCTTGTATATACTGTCTGTGCTCTAAGGAACCATGGGCTCAATCACGGCCCAAGTTAGGCCTTTCGTTGAATTACTAATCTATGAAAGGCCGTGGGATCAATTGGTACGGCACCCTGGTTCTTATAATGGCCCAAGTTTCGAGGCCCAGTCAAAAAAGTCCATATAGGGTTGCAAACTTGCAATATACAACTCGCCATTTTCATACATGTCTATTAAAGCTCAAAACAAATACACCCCCATGTGGGATGGAGAGAAAAAAACACATATTTAATACTAGTAGAGACTTTTTTAAACTTATTTTACTTTACTTTTAATGCTTAGACATTAAAAATTTAGTTTTGAAAATATATAAGTTATCTAGTGACCTAGACATGGCCATTTCCAGTTACGGCCAGAGGGTTGGAGGGCCCTTAACCGATCCAAATATATGCAGAGTGGCCCGATTCAATTAAAAAATAATAATAATTAATAAACAATATCAAATTTAAAAAAATTGTGAACTGCATGTTCTGGTTTCAGTTCTAATTCTGAACCGGCCCAACAATTAAAAAATTATAAATATGTGGCCCTGATCTGGCTCGGTCAAACAACTGGGCAGTTCAAAACCCGTTGATTAAGGGTCGGTTCGAGCCGAATTGGTGGACCGAGACGGCCCGTGGCCATGTACCTATCATTAGTTGCTTTTTTTTTTATTAAATTACTTAAAGTATCTACTTTTAAAAGATCATTTATCAACAATTAACTGCTATTTATTTTTTGTGATACTATATAAAAACGTAATAATAAAGAACAAATTTATTAAATTTAATTTTAAAAAAATATTTAAAATTTAAAGACACATTTTTTTTAATTATTTTCTAAATTTTTAAGAATAAAATTCTTATAGCCATCAATTTAATACTGAAAAATGAAGTCCTGTTAGTATTTCCAATGTGAGATGGTGACTTAATAAAATATTAGCCACATCATTAAGTTATAAAGTAAAAACAAAAATTAATCTCCAATCCATAATGTTATGGACTCTTTTATGCTGACGTGGAGACAATAAACATCCAAAGTGTGAAGCCTACTTTCTAGTTTTCCAAAGAGTGTTTGGAAGCCAATTCATAAAAAATCTAACCTATTTTAAGCTTTTGAAAGGGATGCATTGGAGATGTGTATTTCAAGTTAAAGTCTTCTCTTTTGACATTCATATTATATGGATTTACATTTCATTCATCATTTGACATGTGTTCAAACTTTTTTGACATTCATATTATATGGAATTACATTTCATTTCAAATCATTTGACATGTGTTCAAACTTTTTTGACATTCATATTATATGGAATTACATTTCATTTCAAACTTAATTAATGTTCGCATCGGAGATGCTCTTATTTGGAAGACGGACTGATGTAAGTTTTAGAACTGAAAAAATGGCTTTGCTCAAACTTTTTTTCTGGAACTTACGCCGTTTTTGAATCTCTTGATTTCTGAATTCCCAATTCCAAGCGAAAACCCTAGCAACCAAGAAGCAGGATTCACCACACCACCATAAAAGACTCCTCTTTTTTTCTTCTGCAACATTTGGGGTTTTGACACTTCATGCTCCCAGCCATGGACATCGACTCAAGACATTGCGAATTGGATCCTTGAGTTCCTCCTCCGGCAGCCGCTCGAGGGCCGTACACTGACCTCCCTCCTCCGCGCTCTCCCCCTCGCAAACGACGAAACCGACCTGAAAAAGATGATCTTGCTGCGGAAAATCGAGTTCGAGGTATCGCATAATTCTGTCTCCGAAGGCATTCTTGATTTGCTCGAGCAGTTGGAGGAATTGGAGTTTCGAAATGGGAACGAGACGGTTTCCAACGCCATGAAGCGCGCGTACTGCACCGTGGCCGTGGAATGCACGGTGAAGCTCCTGGCGAATGGAGGAGACAGGGATAATGCCGACAAGTTCAAATTTTTTGAGGCCGTCAAGAGGGTTTGGAGGGGAAGAATTGGGAGGATGGAGAGGATGGTGGAGAAAGGAGGATTGGGGTCGGACGAGCTTTTGGTCTGGAAAGACGAGATCGAGGCTGCTGTGTGGGAGGATACCGCTTATGATGGTGTTGTAAAGAAGAGTGCTGGGGTTAATGGGGTTGAAGCGGTTAGAGCTTATTTGAGGGAGGAAAGAGAGAAAATGGGTCCCTCATTTCTCGAGCTTGTGGCTGAGGGTGTGAAGAATGGTGAGGTTTTTCAGGGGGATTTGGGCATGGAAAATGGTGGTCTGGTAGTAGCTGAGAAGGAGTTTCGTGTTGGTGAAGTAAGTAATGTTGGCAATGGTAAGTTTATGTTCTTTTNTCGGGCGATAAGTGGGTGTGTTGGATTATACGCTGGAATATCGATTATTTTTTCTGGTTAGGAGAGTTATGAAGAGAAATAGTAAAGGTGTTTCCTAGGAGAACTTTAGATGCATCTTGAGATTTTGTAGTGTTAGTCTGGATTAGATAGATATCAGAAGTAATTACTGAAGCCCATTTGATAAATTATTAGTTTGTGTGTGTGTGTTGGATTTATACCAGCAAACTGGAATACATGATTGGTTTCGTGTTCTTTTGTTCTTATTAGGATTCTTGTCTTCTTACAGCATTTTATTATGTTTCTGCTTGTCTCTGTTCTAAAGAAAGAAAGGTTACATGTGTATATCAGTTTTTCAAAACGTATTGCTTTCGATTAATTGAAGAAGAAATTGAGAACAATCGATATCATCTAAATTTACCAACTCATGTTGTGTTCTTTATTTTCCATTCTGCTTTTAACTTCTTGTTCTGAAGGGAAAACTGAAAGTGCACTTGTCACATAGTTACGATTCGAAATCACTTTTTTTTGCCCATCATTTTGTTAATTTTTCTCTTATGATGCTAAAATTACTGGATTGCAACATTCTTTTTTCTCTACTGTGCTTATTAAACTTTATTTCATTTTAACCTTAGGTGTTTTATATTTTGTAGAGACGCAAAAGAAAAGAATTAAACTCAGGGACAAGCTCGTTGGTTTGCGACATTCTAGAGGATTGCTTTCTCGCAGTTCAAGAGGAGCCAAAATTGTTGAATCTGATGAGAATATATCAGGGCCTTCCTACAGAAATTACAATTTGCCATCGAGTGCAAAGATTAATAGAGTTCGAGAAGCCCTTGGGTCGAGTGCTTCCGAGCTCCACGCAGTTGTGAAGGATCCTCTTCCGGATGCATTACAGTTTGCCGAAAGAATCTCTGGTGACTCGAGAAAAGACAAAAATCATGAACCCAGTTCAGAAAATAATCTTTTTCGGTCCAATCTGTTCATTGTGGATGGTGGTGGAGTTGTTCAAGGAACTATCCCTAATGTAAATAATGCACCTAAGCCGAGTTTGATGGAACGGAACAGTACTGCGCATACCTATGAGGTAACCTTCTTATACTTTTATTCATATATATATATATTGTATATGTAGTTTATATATATATTTGTGGCTTGTGCTTATTGAGAACAATCTAATTCATGTATGCATGAATGAGCAAGGCTTTTATATCGAGTTGTGTTACAAATATTATTAGTCATTACTCGTTTTACATACCAACATCGTATGCACATAGATACACTACACACAAACACAAACTAGGTATGTGATTAGTATTTGAATCCACCCACATACTACTCCATTTATCAGTCCAAGAAAGTTAAGCAGCCTACGGGAGAGGATAGTCAAGACTATTTGAGAAAGATTCTTGCTTGCTGAGTTAATCTTGGACGAATATATGTATAAGTTATACATATAAATGTTTGTAGATAACTTGTGCGAGTTATCATGCCTTGGTTTCTATTGGGTGCAACATATTATTATAATTCTTGGATTTTTTGTTTGCAGTGGGATGAATCAATTGATGGATCACAAGAAGACCTAGCTTCTAGATACAGGCTTGTGTTATATAGCCCTAAAATTATAAACGTGTCACCTTTAGACAAATACAAGGATAAAAAGTTAAAGAGAAGGAGGAGAGGTCGAAAATGGAGTCTTGCGGAGGAAGACACATTGAGGACTGGAGTACAAAAGTACGCGATTTTACTGAAATTCCTATAAATTGACATTTTGAGCATATTTTCGTGAGATAAATAGTATAGCTTGTTTTGTTGGATAATTTGTTGAAATTTCTAGGCTTTTATCCTCTTTTCAACGTCAATGCTAATGCAAAATTTGAATATCGTGAAGGTATGGCAAAGGAAACTGGAAGGTCATCCTTACTGTGTACCGTGAGGAATTTGACGGTAGAACTGAAGTAAGTATCCTTTTGTGTGGGTTTACTTTTTCGTCCTTCTTTGGTTGGAGATGATGAATATATTGTTTTGCTCAGGTTGATTTGAAGGACAAGTGGAGGAACTTGATGCGCCATGGGTAAAAATCGCATGGCTTTTCTCGAAAGTAAAGGTAAAATATGTCCAGGATGGGATTCTTGATGTGTATAGTGTCCAAATAGTAAATGATGAAATGAATTTTATCAGTTGGAATTTACTGATACATGTAGATATCAGTTTGGTAGTTGTTTAGGACTTTAGAGTTCAAAGCTCATTGTGGGTAGTTTTTTTCTTAATGGCTTGTGTTGTATTGTATCTCCTCTTTGTAAGTTTTCTGTGTAATAAATTTGTGATTTTTGTCTTGTGTAACCATCAAGTCCAAATAAAGCCCCAAATGCTAACAATGAAAGAGCTGAGCTTCACAAGGCCAACAAAATAAAATAAGAATTATAAAAGATTGGATGCAACAGAAAGGATTAAAACAATGAAAAAAACACTCTTCATCTGCATCTATAGATTTANAACTCCACCAAAACCTCCACTCGAAGCCCGAGAGATCAAAGAAAGGCCCGGTCCAAGTCTTTGGAGCCCGTTCTGGCCCAAATACATATCCAGCGGGTAAGCAGCAGCAGCTGTGTTGATCAACGTCGTTAGGCTCATCCCAGAAGTTCCCGCCAAAATCTCATCCTCACGATGCGGATCACTGTTCAAGTCCAACCGAGCTTTACTCACATCTTCCATAATATTATTATCCACTTGCTTTTTCCCCTCATTATTATTATTATTATTATTATTATTATTATTATTATTATTATTATTATTATTATTATTATTATTATCTAGGGCGAGCTCGGCTTCGCGATCAGACTGTCGTTTTTTCTTGCGGAGCATGAGGGTTTTGAAGCGGCGTTTGACGGTTAGGCAGACATTGCACTTGCAAGTGGGGTCGTGCCTTCCCTTACCGCTCGGAGGCTGAATGCAAACGATACACGAGCAGCCGGGTCGATGACGTGGATGCCTTGTGGTGGGCCCAGTCGTGAGCTCGGTTATGTTATCTCCTAAGACTGCAGCATTTGCAAGTGCGTCTAGGCCAGACGAGGGCTCGCCTTCACGGGAGCCCGATTTGCTGTCGCTAGTTTTTTGCTTCTTGTGATCTGGAATGGAAATAATAAGGAATTATGCAAGTATTTTTTATTTTTATTTTTTTTAAAGGAAAATGATTCGGCTAAAAATACAACCTTACAAAACAAGGATAAGTTAAATATTTTTTGGACCAAAGATAAAAACACAATTTAAATGAGTGTGCTGTCATACCTTTGTTAGGTCTAGAGAAAAAATTTGGGTCCCTTTGGTTCATCTCTTCTGGAGCAGAACAGGAAGACCTGGAAAAAAATCGGCATCACACATGTTAAAATGTGTCCTAGACAATTTTTCCCTTAGTCGAATTATCTCGATTAATAATATCATATTGAAAGTCTCTAACTTTTAAGCTAACCAAAAGGGTTTATCCTATAGTTCACATTCATTGTACTTAATGAACTAGTTTAAGCTAAATATTTCGAAAATTGTCTGACCTGTTAGTGTCCCAGATATTTTCTGCACACATCCAATTTGCAGAAATAAGAGCTTGAACTGGCAGCTTACGCCATTTCGAACAACCATCACATTGAACCAGTTGTGCCAGCTCACTGATAAGATTAAATTCAAGATAATATATCAGAAGAATAAAGAAAAGAAAAAAAAAAGGCAATTCACATGCAGTCCCTGCAGAAATATATCGCAAATCCTCAACAAAACACAAGCCAACTGAACATCCTTTTATCCACTTTTTCACATCTAATTCATATGTTGGTGATAATTTTATCTTTGAAATAATCCTGATAAACAGTATATATATGACACTCTAATTTGCATGTTGATTATGAATGTTTCAAGGAAAATTATGTCAGGAAATTTTGATGGGCATGAGCAAAATATTGAAGGGCTTCTGGATATTCTCAGAGTGCATTTGCTTCTTTTTATTTATTTAAATAATATGGAGATAAGATGCCTATGGAGTTGAATCTTGGTTTTTGCACACAAGCAAAGAAGAGAAAGATAATCCCTCAAAACTTATCCATGAGTTAAATACTTAAGCCTAATTAAAAAAGTACCAAATTATATTCGATTAGAAGTGCCCCATCGACATTTTTCTTCTTTTCAGCAAATTTGCACTCAAAAGGGTTGAATTTTTATTTACTTCAAACTCTTCAAACTATCTCAACAAGAATAGATAAGGTAATCATACCCGGAAGGTTGAGATATGAAAATCGTCCTCTTCCCAAAAACCGGGGGTTCCTAGATGAAATAACGCAATAATCAATAATAACAATAATAATAATAATAACTATAATTAATAATAATAATTATAAAGTGCACGAAAAATATTATTTACTTCAAACTCTTCAAACTCATAGTCCTCGACCATGAAAACAGTTGGCTCGGAAGATGGAGGAGGACGCAACAACTCTTGTGCTTCTTCCCAAGTAATCCTAAGCTCGAGAGCATCATCATTGTACATGTGAAGCCTCTTGTTCTTAATATTTCTCGGTTTTTTCTTCTCCAACACGCTGCTTAATTGCATCTGCCGAGTATCTTCAGATCCTCTGCCTCCATTCTAACACATTATTTTTGTCACATAGCAGTTAGCACCATCTCGATTATAATTTATTTACGAAAAAAAAAATATGATATCTATTATTAGAGTAGAAAATAGCAAGTAAACGATATATATACTGCTGGCAGATTATCATTGCCGCCTGATGATGATGTGTCCCCTGGAGGTTCGGAATTTGGAATTGCTGGAGTTTGAGGTTCCTACTCGGTTTTCAAGAGAATGTGTTAAAACTTTCTGTAAATGTAAATTTTTTATTTTTTATTTTTTTTAAAAAAAAAGAGAATTGCTGACCTGGACATCAGTATTGGTTACTGTTTTGCGACAGCCTATGACAAGTTGACCCCCAGGATCTCTCCTACTAAATATCACTAAAGGCGCAATATAACAAGTGTATTAGTATCATCACAAAGTAACAATTATAGGAAATCAAATCATGTTAAGTTGACCCAATTTTACCTTCTCATTCATTTCCAATGGATTAAGGAAATTACATCTCAAAACTTTTAGAATTTCCAAACACTATACATAACTAATCTCATCACTTATTCATAATTATCTTCATTGGAACAAACAAATAATATCTAACATTCTCATTCTAACATCATCGACCTAGAAATTTACCATATACTAAATTACAATTCAAAATAGACCACTCAATTGCTTTTTTACAGACAAACACGACCCATTTTATTATGTATTTATGTTCTAAAATTCAATCAGAAATGCTTAAAACTCACATATTTTTAACATTACAAAGTGTCACATATCTTTCATCCAAACATTTTTCTCAATTTTCATACAAAAACAAATACACAATAAGAATGTCCCAATAGCTACTAGAAATTGGACCGTACAAAAATTCCAAAAATGCACTGTAATGCAATACTAGAAATTGGACCGTACAAAAATTCCAAAAATGCACTGTAAATATACAAAAATATATCATTTAAGAAGTATATTGTAACAGTAATGCTAATTCGTAATCCCATCTAACCCAAAAAGTGAAGAAACAAAAGAGAGAGAGGGAGCGCAAGAAATCTGAACCTATCNGTTCACTGAAGTGCATTACGCGACAATCAAAACAGTGGGAAATAAAGAGAGAAAAAAAAATTAACATGTGAATTGTTGGCAAAAGATGCATGAGACTTCAAAAGTAAATGGAAAAGTAACCAAAATTCAAGATTCAGGATATCTATACACACACAGAGAGAGATTAACAAAGTATATTACCTGTATCACCAGCTTGTACTTGCATACTTTGGATGCATGGTGTTACACCCTCCAAAACATACATCCTGCTATTGTTGTTCGGCCAAAACCGGAACTGAAATGTCCACTCTTTTCCCTTAATGTCCTGAATCTTTATAGGTATACCTTCTGATTGATTTATAGTAGGGAAGTATGCCTGCATTAAAAGGATCAATTACCAATAAAGAACTTATATATAAGAGAAGTTCCACATTCTCTCTCTCTCTCTCTCTCTCTCTCTCTCTCTCTCTCTCTCGAAACTAAATACTCACTTCAGCACAGGCTTTCGGAAGGACCAGACGGCCAATCCTGCCAGCATCACTCGCACTCAGAATCTTCTCAAATAACGGCACAATAGTGGAGTTCAAACTAGAGACTAAAGTTAAGGCAACAAGTAAACAAGATTTGCAAAACAATACTATAGATACATAAAAATTCGATTTTCTTCACATAATTTCAAAAGAAACATGATTGTAGTCGGGTGACATCATGACCAATTTGAAAACTCTTATACATTCACAACACAATAAAAAATAAATCAATTTTACCCAAAGGCAGGGAAATAATATTCATAGAACGCAGACATATCAAATTCAAAACCACTAGCAATAATAATTTTTTTTCGAGGATACTCTCCAGATAACTGCTGCAACTCTTGATCCGTGATCCTCGGCCAATAACGAGGCAGCAGCTGGCTACGGCCCCGCCCTTCTGCCGGAGGCCTCGGGACCCGAACCTGAGAACCACCAGCTCGACTCGTCTCAGAGCCTGCCATTGGACTAGGTTTTGGCGGCTTTGCAAGAACATGGCGTGTCTTTTGTAAAGAACCTTTGTTCTGATCACTCCCATCGACAATCCCACCAGCAAAATGTGGTGATAAACTGCTCGAGCCAGCTAAAGGAGGGTTTGCTGACAAGGAGAAACTCAGACAAGGCTGACTCAGAGATTCTGGCATGTCCTTATTAAGGCCATGTCTTGGTCCCATATTGTCTGGTTTAACGAAAACAGACGAAGAGGCACTTGCTAAGTTTCTCCCGATCTCGGGCGTTTTTACAACGGACGGTTCATCTCGTTTGATCTGCTCGAATGCTGAGGCTATGTTGTTGACCCCTATGGACTTGGTCAACTGCAGGGGCCTCTCTGTGCTGTATTTGTCATCGTCTAATTCGCCATCCATTGCTTTTATAATCAGCGAGTCAAATTTGCCATTAAGAATATCACTAGGCCTCTCTGTGCTGAATTTGTCATCGTCTAATTCGCCATCCATTGCTTTTATAATCAGCGAGTCAAATTTGCCATTAAGAATATCACTAGGGATCTGAAAAATGGGTCGAGTATAAGAAGTAAATCAAAAACAGAGAATATATATGTGAAGATTACATGTGTGTGACAATAGGAAAATTTTCAAGAGAATAGAAAATGAAAATGCAGATAGAAGTATATTTAAAAGCACTGGATTAGGTTTTATTGTTTTAATTGGCGGTAATGAATCATAAAGCAGCAATCAGCTTAGAGGTGAACTTATGTCATTTGCTACGAGGAAAGAACGAGACAAAATGGTACAAAAGAAAACAAAATAATATCTAATTTTGTTGTGCCAGTATGTATAATTTCAAACAGAAGTTGGAAATTTTATGAAATGCAAACATCATCCTCATTCCTAGCATATCACCATAATCCATTAATGTAATGCCTTTTTTTTTTCTGGACAAAATAAAGAATAAGTCAATCAACAAAGCCTCGTTCAGGTTAGAAGTATAATGGAGCAACTCTTGAAGCTCAAGTGATCTAATTACCATTGTTTCCATTGCATGGATCTCCAAACGCTTTGCACAGCTTATGCAAGCAACACCCCCAAAATCCATGTACTCATGTAGATGCCTTGAAGCAATGCATCCACAGTGAACCATCTGACATGCAAAATAGAAAGGATCAGATGGATATGAAGACAGTATAACATCGAACAATGTGAATTTATATTATATTATAATAACAATGATACCTTTCCACATACTCTGCATGGCCGCCAACCAGAGTCCTCCGAGTGGAATGTTTCACAGAAAATAGAATTCTCATAGGCAGATCTGGAGTTCACATTGACCAATTTTATACTGAATTATTTTGAAAATTCATACTGAATCTAATTCTATTTTTAGATTAATAAACAAGGCCGAATAACTGTAATGACATCTTGTCATGCAATGTGCAACACATTAGAATACTTTGACCAATTTGGAAAAAAAAAAAAATATCTAAGTAAAACAATGCAAACTTCAAAGCACCAGCACAAGAATTCAATATGCCCTTAGTGTACAAGAACCATAGATAAGTCAATGTCTTAAGTTTTCATTCATGCAAGCTAACAAGTTTTAAACTTTAGCTAATTCACGATAATGGACATGTGTATATCATAACTTATAACAAGCCTTCAAAATCAAACCGGCATACCTATTTCATCTGGTTGAAAGCAGATATACCAGAGAAAATAGATAATCATATATTTTCTTTCAGAGATATTACACAAACACGGGCAATCATCTCAAATTCCCTTGCATCAGCAATTGAATGGAAACAATAACAATACATTGTTTGACTTCTCACATCACAATCCAAAAACATGTTATTTAGTTTTGCTGACTAGCATGTATGTAAAATCTCAAGTAGTTCGTCACTAACTAACGCACCTTCTCGTCTTCAATCCATTTCAAAAGATGAACTTTTCAGCAAAATATACCATAAAATGCCACGTCCCGGAACTAACAACATAGATAAAAGGCCAAAAACTCTGAAAGGGTTTTGGGGAAGAAAAAGATTATTCTAAAAATAGAAAACAATTAACCAACAGATACCAAAGGAACCAATCCATGATAACTAACAAAACCAAAAACATCTCCACTGTTGAGATATATTGGGAATCCAATTTGCTTCATACCCAAATTACCCTTTGAAATTGACAAAAACAAACAAGGCAGCCATGATAAACACCATCAATTGAACGAGGTCATGATCGGAAAGCAGAAGAAATTACCCGCAATTGTAACAAAGCCAAGCTAGTCCACCTGATTTCAAGCTCCAACCTTTTTTCCAGTCAGATGACGTTGTTGCTCGGCAAACCTCATTCATGCAATTTTTCGACCCCATTCCCTCGCAAAATCAATTCTTGAATTGAAATCACCACTCTACAAAAAAATAGAAAGAAAACCCAGACACAAAGCCATCAATCAAAACCCTAATACCCGTCGACTAAACCCAGTTGACCCAGATCAAAGGAATTAAACAAAAATCCACAAAGCCCACGACTTTAAATGAACGAATGCACTATTCCATCTCAAAACCCAAAATCTTCAACTAATTTCATGACAAAAAAAGATTAAATCGCCCACTCACCCAGTCCAAATCTGTGAAATTCAACGTCCGCATGCTAACATCCTCACACAAAAAGGGCCCCAATTGCTGACACCAAGTTTTTGAAATCTTGAATCGACACTGAGATTATTGAAACAGAGCCAGAGATATATAAAGAAACTGACTGAGAAAAAAAAACACACACACACACAGCGGCGCTTGGTGGTTAATTCCACTAATCCCAGATTCAAATCAAATCAAATCGAACCAGATAAAAATGAAAATCAGATAAAGACGATGAGTGAGAGTCTCTACAACAGAAGATTCATCATTCATGGACGTGTGCCTATCTGTTTAGAGAGATGAAAAAAGGTGTGTGCATGCAGAATAAGAGGGGAATTGAAAAGGGTTGCGACAAAATGCATGCACGACACGCTTTGAGAAGACCAAAGGCTTCCTTCGTCTACTTACATTATCATCTGTAGAGTTGGTCCTCGGCCCCAAAACCACTTTTCTTTTTTTTTTTTTTGGTG